CTACAGAGGTACGGGGGTGCAGGGTCCCTCCTCGCCGGTTACGTGGGGGGAAGGAGCGGAGCTGAGTTCATCGTGTCCACACGTCAAAGGGTGGGCACCGTGTCCACCCATCAGAGTGTGGACGTGACTCAGTTGTGTTTGGGCAACGTGGGCGTAGTGGGAAGTTTGATCACAAATATGGACAAGAAAGGAAAGAAGTTCTTGCAGGTTTGTAGAAGTGTGGATTCTTTTGAAGATCTTCCTGTCTCACAAATTACTATAAAAAAGAAACTCTCTGTATTAGTGTTTGGGCTTATTTCAGCGTGCTTTTTTATGGTCCCAGGGCTTAGTAACGTTGTATTGATTGAGAAAGCATTTCGCTTTTTTAATAATCTTTTCTTCACCCAGTCCGCTGTTTTTCAGCTGTGAGCAAGTGGCAGACTGGTATATTGTGGTTTTTTTTGTTTTGTTTTCTAATTTAGCATTAGAAATTCAAGCAGTTCTTTCTTACTTGGCAGTTTCCCACCCCTTCCACCCTGAAGAAGCTTTATTTACATTTTACACAGTTACTTTAAACTCTTAAATTGTTTACTTTCAGGTTTCAGTTGTCCTGAAACAAAGATTCGCGCTCCAGATGGAAAGATCTGGCGCGAGGAAGATTTTCGCGTTAGTCGGGAGCGGTACAGAGATTTAGCACTTCAGTTAACAGGTGAGACACAAACTGAATGGATTAAACCACGCAACCTTCTCCGAGAGGCAGAGACTGTGTAAAGTATCAGAACGTTACCTTTGGAGTTTATTTCACGTAAAAGGGGTGGGAGGGAATGGTGAATGCTAAAAGATTAGAAAACCGTGACTCATTCATCTTTGCTCAGTAGTCTTTTGAAAAACGTGTGAAGTAGTGTCATGGCAAAGTGGCAACACTGGAGAAAAGGTTGGTTTTTAGGTGATGAGTTCATTTAGCAACACAGTATTCTGATGCTTAAAACTATGAGTAAAGGTGATTAAAAAAATGCTGTGGATTTGCCTGATGGTTACACTGCTAGAAGACTGAGACAGTGATACCTGCTTTGTGTTTTGAAACGTACTGCTCCAAGAGCTGGTCTTTATTTCGCTCTGGAAAACTGTAGAACCATTGGCAGCTCCTTTCTCTGGACAATCTGGGGTAGGATGCCTGAGTGTGCTTTTTGGTTTGCTACACTTGTTACGCTGGACCCATGTAAGGTGTAATTGCTTTTGACTGGCTGAACTGGGGGAGGGGAAAGATACCAGATGAATAAAAAGGGAACAGAAAATAAAATCCCCTGAGAACCTCTGCTTTTGCAGCTTAAGAGTTTTCTTATTATATATTAAAAATAATTTTTCTCATTGGTTGAAACCTAGTTAAGACTGGAGGAAATGTGATGAGATTGTAAACCTCCTCATACGTTGATAGTATAGTGACTGGTATGGAAATTAGTAGATTATTTTGCTTGTACAGCTTGATAAGACACAGAGGAATTTTTCTGGAATGACGGAAAGTTCAGGAAGGACAATAAAATTGTTTTGCAATACTCTGTTGAGCATCAGTCCCTCCGTTTAATGCCAGATCTCTGAAGACTTTGAAGCTATATTAGCTTTTTTTTTTTTCAGTTTTCACAAGCATAGTGTGAGTGATTCACAAGGTCTCCACAGAAGTCCAATTATTTCAAAAGTTTTCTTGAAGAGGTCCAATTAAAAAGGCATTGGAGTTATGTGTTCAGTGGGCTTCTGTCTGCGGAAGGAAGGAGCCGTGTGTACGTTCACTCCTGTCCCAGTGCCCCGCGTAGAACAGCTGTCACGGAACGTGTCTCCTTTCTGACCTGAACAGATGATATTGAATAGCTGATTTCAAGTAACTGAATGCTGGTGCTGCACATAATATATACTGTAAATGTATTTTTAGGTGGTCAGATAATCTATCCATATGTTAATGATACAGCGTGTGGAATTTTGGGTGTGTACAGTTGTATTAAAACTTCCATCATCTCTGGTACTAAAATAAGCTCTAAGATCTCTAGTATCTCCGGCAGCATTGTTCTTTATTGTAACAGAGGTTTTGGATGTGAGCATACGGTCTTTATTTTGGTGTAGCAGTTAGACTAAAGATGTTGTATGAACCTCAGGCTTCCAGTAATTCTGTCTTAAAGGTGTTCAGGATTTGCCGTACTAGAAAAAAAAATGCTGTAACGTGAATAATAAAGGGAGCGGGAAGCTGCCTGTAGTTTCCTGGTATCAGGAAGGAACTTTTTTGCCACTGAAAGAGGTGAGGAGGCACATGCAGCCACTGCGGCCTCTGGTGCTTGGTGCATTGATTCTTTTTGCTCTGTGCTTGTTGTCAGGCTCAAAGACTACTGGAAAATGTGTAAGGAAAGGATATTAAGGGGAAGAAAGACTTCATTCCATTCCAGCATCCTTTGAATAATGACCCCGTTGTTCTGTCTCTGATACTTCCTATGGGGGTCCACCAGATTCAGCTGAAGTTAAGGGCTGTAAAATTAGTTTTGGCGTATGAATGAGGCTTTGGATCTGTCCATGGAGTGGGTTACATCCTGCTTGGTTTAGGTTGTCTGATCACATTCTTTGTAGAAGAGGAATAAGAAAACAGTGGTAATAGTGGCCATGGAGTTCCTTATCTACTTTGGGGATTAAGAAAAGAGCATCTTCCAGGCATATAAACTGAAGTGATTTTAAGAAATCTTTGAAACTGTCCAATGTAGGCTGCTGAGACTGATTATACCGTTCACCTGCACTTGAGCAGTGCTTGTTTCTGCTTTGTACCGTGGGCAGCCCACTCCGTGGGGCGGGGATTGAGTCACATCTCGGGTCTCCTTTTTGGTCTTTGCCTTAATATGAAAACGTGGTCGAATACAACGCTTTCTTTGATAAGTGTTCCTGGCGTCTCCGAAGCCTAAAACCTCATTGTGTTATAAATGAGAGCTGAAGTGATACAGACCAATTCTGTGTTGCTGGGTGAATTCCACAACAAGTTTTGCAGAAAGCAGAGCCCATGGATGTCCTGTCTTCCATGCTCCAGCGTGGAGGCAAGGAGCAAATGTGTTGTCACGCTTCAAGGTGGAAGCAGTGGCTGATGTGTTTCAGGAGGGAAGGAACTGCGTGTCCTCGTGGATCATTAATATGGTAAAATGTTAGTATCTGTAGTAGAAGAGAACCGACAACTGCTCCTATCAAACTGTAAACACTTCTTTTAAAACTGAAAATAAACTTTGTAGAGATATATTGTGGCATGGCTGTGGCTTAGCTGCATTCCAGTGCCTAGGTCAACCTAATTGCAAATTTTCGTGCTATGTGGATTTTAAAATGCTGGGCTGGGAGTAATTGATCTCAATACGTAACCTGGGAGAGTCAGTGAATTTTATTGTGTTTCTCTGAGTTCTGATTTTTCAAGGTAAATGTTGAAACAAGCCTGTTATTCTATGTTCTTTCCTGTGGGATATCACTTAACAGCTTTTGTTTCTTTTTTAGAGGATACAACAGTGAAAGGAAAACCCAGTGAGAGGAACAAAGAGAAAAAAGCAGCCAGACTGGTGCGGAAAGTGCGAAAACTGACACGGCTGTCAGGTACAGAGCCCAAACAGGATGATTAGCTCTGCTGTAGAGAGAAGACTGTCACGTGTCCTTCAGAGGACATGTCTTAAGATATAAAGAAAAAAACAACCCATCTTTCTTCCAAAGTCTTCTCAGATGTGCAGTAACGCTGTTGTAGTGTGTTTGTAGACTTACGCTGTGTTGGGCTTGTGGATGTTTTTGTCGTTGGCCATGTGTGATTTTTTGGGAGGGGGGGAATTATTTAAATTTGTGTGTCAGGCCAACACAGAAAAGGCAGCGATAGTTCTGTTCTGGATCCTGCTTCTGTTTCGCTTGTCTCGAAGCTGGTTAGAGCCTGACCCCCAGCTCAGTGAATATTGCTGAGAGGAGGAATGGAGATGGGATCCAAATCAGTGCCAGCAGGACTTGCCGAGTTTCCCTCCTCTGTGGAGAGGGGCTGCAGCCAAAGCTCCTCTCTTGTGTGATGTCTCTGTGGGGAGGCAGAGAAGAGGATGCCCTCTGCCTGCTGGTCTTTTACATCCTGGGGCAGGTGGGTGCTGTCCTGCTACTTCAGTTCCGGCGTGATCCATTCCTGGCTTTTTCAGTTAGTGGAAGAATGTGAAAACACGCTCTCTGACAAGGCTTACAAATCTCAATATTTATAAAGAAATGTTTATTTCTTTTACCAATCTTTTTAAATTTTCACTGCTGCCTGGAATTTCCACGGTCTATTAAATAGAATTTAAAGTATTTAGAGAAGAGGGTGTGAGCAGGTTGCTGTAAAGCAGTGCCTTACAGTAGAAAATGAAATTCGCTACATGTGGAATTCTGTGAGCACGTCTTAGTTTTTCCAGGAATGTTAACCTTGATCCTGTGTGTAGAAAGACAATTACAAAGGCTTTCACATCTGCTTCATATTTGGTTTTAATTTTTGTAGAAAGTGGTTGTGACAGCAATCACACTACAGAACATTTTTTTTGTCAAATACATGTGACATTAGGCACCTCTTGCACCTTTTAAGGTTTTATATTTCTTCTTACGTAGTGACCCATAATCAGTAAATGCTTTGGCAAAAAAAGCTGTTTAAAATAGTTATTTCAGCAGAGATTTTAGAGAGTGAATATGCTCTTCTGTATGCTGTAAATCATGAAGCTGTGTGAATATTTTGTAGTAAAGAATGCTAATACTTAAAAGTAAAGTGATAAGTCTGGATTTGCTCTTTGCTGATCAATTCATACTTAAGGAACTATTGTGAGCTCACTCCGTGTTTGTGACAATTCCAAGTGAGGGATGAGCACAGAGATTACTGCAAGTTTTGATGGTAATGGTTATTCTTCATAATGGATAAAATGTGAGGAGAATAATGCCTTGAAATCCCTAGAAGACAGCAACCAGATCTAAGTGGCCTGTCTATCATGGTCTGTCCTCCTCCAGTCACAGCAATAAGAAACTGCTTACCATAGCCAAGGCTATCCATAGCCACAGCTCATGTTCTGCTCTCGTAGCACGTTTTAGTTCAAACAGCTGACTTGAAATGGGAGATGAGACTTTCCACGGCCTTTTTAAACACACGCAAAAGTAACTGAGAACAGTGAGTTCAGCAAGAGAACCCCTTTGGCTGATACGTCTGTTTCAGAGTGGCTTGTAGTGACACGTTTCAAGTGACAGATTTATAAAACACTTGGATAATTTACAGTGCAAGCAAGGAGAATTGTTAGTAAAGAATGAATAGTAGGATACAGACTTCGGACTGAGCAGGTCTCTTCCTCCTGGTTTAAAATAACGAAAAGAAAGCGGCGTGGGAGCTGAGAACTGGGGTTGCTGAAACGCTGTTGGTCTGCAGTCCTGGGTTTCACTTGAAACTGCTTTGGTACCACGTCTTCAAAGCCCTGTTGGGCTCACAGTACAGCCCCTTTTCGTTTGGCGGTGTTGTGTTCGTGCCGCAGTGTCTGGGTTTGTTTAGCCAGCGCTGGGAGAGGTAGAACCTGCGACTGGATGGTTAGAAACCAGCTGAAAGCTGGGTATTCAAATTAGGTACTTTGCTAGCAATAAGGTACTGCTACAGTTAGGTTGTTAGTAATTTTCTTTCCTATATGATACTTTTCACCAAAGTTCTTTAAGGTCGTTATTTTTCAAAAATAATTATTAATAATATCAGAAGTTAATGAGCTGAACAAACGTAGCATTTAAGCTAACCAGTGCTAGGTAGAGATGCTGCCATTCCTGGTTTTTGTAATTTAATTATATGTAGGATGATAAAATAATGCTAGTAATGTTGTGATTGGGTTTTTGTCACCTGTAAGGTAGTCTGTTCTTGAATTAAGTATCAGCTAATAGGATTTATCATAACAACATACAGGTAGAGGACAGTGAGTTAACACTGACTTAGAACAACTGCAGCTTGGTATTTTTTAACCTTCTCACCAGACACATATCTCAACAATTAATTATCTGTAAAAATCCCTGTGGGTTTTTTTTTCCCCTAGAATATCAGCTAATGTTCTTTAATATGATTTTTCTTATCTTTTACCTTTTTTTATCTTTTTATTACATACTTTTTTTTCTTACTTATTTAAGTGGAGATGAACAGCTGCTCAGACCTCTACCAATATTTCCTCTCTCCCTCAGTAATATTTCCTTTTATGTTTTAGACCTGTGTAAACCCTTTTTCTTTCTCAGTTTGTGTAGGGCTTTAATGTTTTACCGTATGTCTGGACCTTCACGTTGTGTTACGTGTAGGCGTGAAGCGGCAGCAGTCGTGCGAGTCAGCTCTTGAGTATCTCCGTGGTGCATCTCTGTTGTGACTATTTTGTGTAACTGCAGCTGTGCCACTTACACAGAACTAAATGGTATAGAAATGATTAATGGTTGCAATAAATACTTGGGTTTGACATGTTGGAAAATCCATCTAGTGCTTGACTTTTATTTGTTACTCATTGTGCAGGTGGAAACTATGAAATAAGTGCATCCTCCTGGCGGGAGGGACAAAAGCTCGTAACGAAGATACTGGGTCCAGCTCCCAGAATAGAACAGGACAGAAGAGCTGTGTCTAGTGACAGAGCAGGACGAGAGGGAGCTGCCAAATCTGGTGAGTTGTACTTTTATCACAGAACTTCTTTTGTTGTTCACGTTTTATTACATAACACTGCACGTCTGCTGAATAAAGCAGACTTCTGAGACAGAATGTACTTAGTTTCTTATTAAAATAACTTCTAGTTTTAACCTGGGATTCGAGCGGGGAGAATTTTGCTCACCTTTAGGGTTGGGATGGGTAACCTCTCTTGGTGGGTGGATTATGATCTCTTCTTGGTGTCACGGGAAGCCTGCCCTACACATGTGACTTGAGGGGCTCAGGAGCTCTGCAAAAAGTGGGAAATAGGTTGCAAACCAAAATATGGATCACCTCCAATCTGCCTTTGCCTCCTGAAGCTGGCAGGGAAAGGAATGGCTCGCAGTGGTCCACGGGCCAGATGAATTTCCCAGATGTTCTGTGTGTAATGTGTAAGCTGTGGTTGAGCATCCCTGTTTTACTGGGATTTATGGGGATTATAGATTTTTCCAGATCTGGTATAACGTTATCTGTGTGCATCAGAAATCTTCACTGATTCCTCCACTGACCCTTTTCTGAATTTATCTGGAATCTGACAGGGCATGTGAGGAACACGATAGCTGGTGTGCTGCTTACACCTGTGAGGTGGTGAGGTTGATAGGAGTATAAAGGGTGGGAGCTCAGGCTGAGCAAAGGCTGCTGAATTAGGACTAGGACTCTGAGTGAAGCAAAAGCACATTTACAGCAAGATCTGCACTCCTCCCTCCTCCTCACTTTTGCCCCTGTTTCAGTGATGACGTGTAATTTCCTGTAATTGATTTTTACCTGAAGCATTTGATAAGTCTTATTCTTTAGCAGGCTGTATTGGAAGGACAGGTTCAGATTCTAGACTGGATGTTACCCATAAAACCTCTTCAAGAAGTTTTGAAAGATCAAGAAGTAAAGTACGGTCTGAGAGTAATCTGAAGAAACTGGAAGCTGCTCTTCCAGATGATAACCAGGAAGATCATGCCTCTGTAAATAAGGACTTCTTGCCTGTGGAGATACGTGGAATTCTTGATGACCTGCAGTTGGATTCCATGAGTACAACGCAAGAGAAAGATGTGGAAAAGCAGAATCAGAAATCTGTTTTACCTGCTCAAAATGCCAGGAGCCACAGTCCAACCAAAAGGAAACCGGACAAAATAGGTGCCAGTGAGGAGCCTCAGGTGATCTCTAAGAAACGTCACTATGATGTAGATGAGGTTCGTCAGTACATCATCAGGCAGCAAGAGGAGAGGAAGAAGAAGCAGAATGAAGAGAAGAAGGCACAAAAAGAGGCAACAGAACAGAAGAACAAAAGACTCCAAGAGCTCTACAGAAAGCAGAAGGAGGCTTTTACTAAAGTGAAGAATGTGCCTGCTCCTGAGCCTTCAGCAGCCAGACAGTTGCAGGAAACCTACTCTAAACTACTGCTGGAACGGACGCTTTTAGAAGAGCCACCTCAGCTGCCTACGGTGCAGGAAACACAGGTATCGCCGATTCACACCTTAATGTGTTGGCAGTTGTTTGCAGGAATAGGAGGTGTTATGTTTCGGAAGGTCATGGCTTGTCCTGGTGGGTTATCAGTCAGGAAAAAGGATGCAAAGAAAACCAACTGCTTTTGCTTAAAAATAGTGGTTCTGATCTAGAGCCTCCTTGCTAGTGGCTGCTTTTTGGCACGACAAGGCCTACTAGAGAGGTGAATGGACGTCATCTTTCTGTTTATAATAGCTAATATCCAGAGTTCTTCTTCCAACAGCAGCTATAAATGTGTGCTCTTAAGAAAACAGTAAACATCAGTCAAACCGTGAATTGGAGAGCTTTGAAGTTGCTTTCAGTCAGTGGACAAACTTCATCAGTAATCAGTTAAGTTTGCTAATCAGAAGCTGAATATGAAAGAAGGTTAATATATGGTAAAAGACTAACAAGAATTTGATGTATTTGGCTGCACTAGTTCAGTATGTCAGCAAAGTATCATTTCCCAGTATGTTCTGCTGGGATAAAAACGGAAATATCTTGCATTTTTAAGCCTTTGCACGGTAGGGCAGGTGTGACACTACACCCAGAAACGTAAGCCTTTTCAGTTTTAGTGAGATAAGAGCTTCTAAACTGCTGCAGAATTTTGAAAATGCATTTTTCTGGTTGTCTTCATTTCCAGCCCAGACCTGGCTATCAACCATCTGGGGAATCCGACAAAGAAAACAAGGCTCAAGAGCGTCCTCCTAGTGCATCTTCAAGCAGTGACATGTCGCTTTCAGAACCACAGCAGCCCCTACTGAGGTGAGCTAGTGCGGCCTTTTGCAAGGGTGGAAAATACTCTGATTTTCATCTCTGAGGGGTGAAAATAGCTAAGGCTTCTAATTTCGGGGTCTAGTGAGAGTAATTGTCTTTATGGCTATTATAATGTCTCCTCGCAGTAAAGAGGAAGCTCATGCAGGAAAGCATATGAAAATGTTGGCGATGGATATTTGGTGAGTCTGTAAATGAATAAAGTGAGCGGTCGTTGTTAATCTGTTGCTGATATCAAGAGGATGTGCGTTTCATATTGGGAGACTCTTATTTTCTCTCTCACTGCCGTTGAGCAAGTGAAGCTTGATAACGTGAATACATCTGTTGATTTTTCTTATTTGATTTTTTCTTATTTTGATTTTTTTCAATGTTTCTGTTCAATTGTTGTCTTGGACTCAGGCCTTCAGTTAGAGTTTCTAAAGGCTCAAACCCCTCTGCTTCGGCTTGGAACTAGCCTCTCCCTATTTCCTTTCGTGCTGCTTTCCTCATTTTTAGTTGTTCAGTGTATTATCAAAGTTTTTCTTACTGTACTTCAAGGTCCCTAACTGAACACTTTAAAGAACTAAAGATCATAAAGGTTCTTGCATATCCTTAATATGCCTGCTGTGGAAGCATGTCTTCATTTTTAATTACGTAGTGATTGCCTGTTTCTTAAATATATATTTGCTTTATTATCTGTACCTTAACTTGCTCAAATCTGTGCCGACTTTGTAAATTCAGTGAGACCTGTTTCCTTTCTGGAAAAATCCAAGGAAATACTAGTACTGCTACGTAGTACTGTGTGTCGAATACGCTGCTAAACCACACGGTGGTAAATATTGCCAATGTAAGGAAAAAATGTAAGTGCTGTTAGTAGGGGAAAGATGAGACTTAAATGGCTGCAGGAGATGTTTGGAGAGCCTCAGAGTATGCAGAGAAGAAGTTTCTTGTGAGAGACTTTCCTGGTTTCCCAGTATTCAGAGGATATTAGAGAAGGAAGGTCTTTACAGAGCTCTTGTCAGGCAAGTGGGAGCTATCTGGAAATAAGAAAAGATATCTTAAGGAACTTTAAACATCCTTGTATCCTCCTTTTGTCTAAGTTTTCTTCATACCTACACTAATTGACAACTCCAATGAAACATGGGCAGGGTTCACCTGGAGGGCAGAAAGCTGAGGCTGATATTTTCTCCCTTTAGAAGTCAGGAAACTTTTGGAAAAGACTCACTGCTGAAAACTCAACTTGTTACAACTCTAAAACTTACACCGTACACTAAAAATGCCACTTCAAATTTGAAAGGTGCTGCGTTGTTGTTTTTTTAAATGCATTTTCTAGCTGTTTACTGTCCCATTTTCTGCTCCTCTTACTCCACCAAAAAATATTTCTTCTTGAAAAATAAACCTGTGGCAACAATACTTTTGTCTAAAATTAGAATACTTGTATAAAATAATCAACTTAAATGTTGACTTTTTGTTTCAGGGGTGATTTGATGGAGCCTCCATGGGTACAGCCAGACAGATTGAGCCCAAGAGTCCAGCTGTCTCACCCTCAAGCTCTTACGGGTTCAAGTGGAGGCCCTTGCTCCCAGCACTGGAGCCTGGAGCAGATGGAGCTTCTGTCGAAGGAGTGTGACGCGATGTTGGCGGGCAGGAGGAACCATGCTGCACCCGTGGGATCGCTGACCTTGATGCCTCAGCCGTACCTGAATTCACCCACACAGCAAAATCTGTTAGTAAAACCCTCTGCTAACCAGTATAAGAGCAAATTAGATCGGATCGAAGCTTTGAAAGCTACTGCTGCTTCCCTTTCTAGTAGGATTGAAAGCGAAGCCAAAAGGTTGGCCGGGGCTGGTATCAATTACGGTACCGTGTGGAACTCGAACCATGAATTTATGCAAGAAAACCAGGATGATGGGCGGTGGGCAAAGGCTGTGAGTCCTCCTGTGAGAGAGGAAAATGAAGATGCTTTTTCGGCCAGAATTCACAAGATGTTGGGCACGCGTGTGTCTCATACAGCCTTTGACGACGACCTGCCTGGGGTTGGCAACCTGAGTGAGTTTAAGAAGCTCCCTGAAGTGATCAGGCCTGCAGTGAGCCTTGGGGTGAGGTCCCCTGCTGCTAACAGGCATGAGGGGGTGCTGGGACATTTATCCCAGAGACAGACGGACTCCCCGGGGCGTGAAAGCCAGGCTTATGCTCCCAAAAAAGCTGTAACTCCTCAAGAGTCCAGCATTGACTCCATCAGCGAAGGGCCTCTCCCGAGTGACGGAAGCCTCTCGGAAGAGGAGGGAGACCAGCACAAACAGTTGCCGCTGAAGATGCTGGAGACGTTGAAAGAGAAAGATTTCTGCATTCGGGAGAGGAATGCTTTTGAGACCATAAAAGAGTTTCAGAAGGAAGCTGAGAAATACTCGCCACTTTTCACTCCAAGTAGCACACACAGCAAGGGACCTTGGGAGGAACTGGCAAAGGGAAGTCCCCACAGTGTCATCAACATCTTCGCAAAACGTTACCAGCTTCATGGAAAAGGTAAAAATGGACAAATTTCTCAAAGCTCTTGTGAATTACAGTTTTCCCAGTCTTGCTACTCCTTACGCTTTGTATTTCACAGGTGTGGAATGTACTTTTATGAATCTGTGTAAGGCTTTTCTCAATGTGCTTTTGGATGATAAATTATTTCCTCTGCCTTCTTTTGCCTTCTTGTCTAAGGAAAAAAAGAATAATAGAACCCCACGCTTCTGGGCTGGAAGAAAATTTCTGTTTTGTATTAGATTGCTCTGTATTGCTAGATAAGTAACCAATTGGTGTGCTTGGTTACATGTAGTAAGGACACCCATAGTTACTGAGTTTTGAATGTAAAGTTTACACTTACTGAATAGAGAATTGCATACTAAATAGAAATTGCCCAGAGTGCGTTTGGAAACGGTTCTCCCCACCATGGAGAGCAGACCCTCTGGAATGTGCATCTTCCTGCTATATCTGCACTCCAGATCATCTGTAATAACACAACATTCCTATTTCAGTTAAGGCAGAAAGATGAAATTCATGTTTTATGCAGCACTTACTTCACGGCATAATCGTGAGTGCTTGCATATGCCCCGATTCTTGCTGTGCAAGAATAATACAGCTTTACTGTATGATTAGAAACATGTAACTTCGGTGGCTGCGTTATGGGGACTTCCCGTTTGCATCTTTGCTCGTAGGAATTATTTGATCATGTCTCCAAGCAGAGCAACAGCTAAAACTCCAGTGACAATACTCAATTTTGAGAAAGTAAGGTTTTAATATATCCTCAGGGCAAGTCTCTTGCTCAAACGAGCCCACTTCAGGTGTTGGTGTCTCAGGGCACGCTGTACAGGTGTCTCGTGCAGGAGGCTTCATTTGGGTATCGCTTTGTGCACGCATTCTTCATTTTACGAGTACCGTTCCTCTTGCCTTGAGTTCCTCGTTTTGAGGAGGAGTGTTTCCTGAGAAGTTGTTTTTTTTTATCCCAGGGGTTCTCTTGATTCTTTTTTCCTTCATTTTATTCCCCTTAAAGCTGTTTGGATGTTTTCTACAGATGGCTGCGCTCTCAAGCACTGTGCTCTTCAAGAGTGTTTTAGCTGGAGTGTGTTAATGGAGTATTCAATAATTTACAAAAAGGAGGAAGAGTGTTCTGGTTACATCGTGTTAAAACTGCCATGGGATGGCCGTGCTGTTGTTTTCCTGACGTTTTTGTGTTTGAAAGGAAGTCTTTTTCACTCGTGGTTGGGAGCATTTCAATTCCTGCAACTTTATTCCCTGCCTGATGCACATTTTCATTCGGTATAATTTTTGTTTTCTGGTCACAATTCAGTGTTTGAAGAAAGGTCGAACGGAGGTTCTCCCCTCCTGCGCCCTTTACTCGCTGCCATGAGCCCTCCAGAGAGCGTGGTTTCCTACGGAGATGATTTTGCTTCGTCGCAGGGGAGTGGCACTTCAACAGACAAAAAGATTGTGCATGAACTCAGGTAATTTGTGCTGCACTTCTTGTAAAAACCAAAACGCAGGATTTGACAGAAGATAGTTAATGTAAAATTTGTTTCATAATATACTGGATATCTTTTCGTTACGGTGTAATATTAGTTAAAGTGATGCGGGTGCTTCCTTAGGACTTTGCAGTTAATATAGCAACCGGCATGGTTAAGATGTAAAGATTAAAGTCAATTATTCCTCTTGCTAATTTTTGGTCTTTTTCAGTCTGGCAGGTAGCTTTAGGCAAGGGTCTTACCCTTTGTAGTCAGGTGAAAACTACTTCTCCAGGTTGTATGGCTGCTGTAATGCTCAGTTGGTTAGTCTTTGTAATTTTGAAAAAAAGAAAACGGATTTGAAAGTGTTTAAAATACCTTCAGTACTTAAATATTTTGTCAAAAGCCTGTAAGGACTTTGAGTAATGGTTCCTCAATGCTTAGTAACAGATACGTAAATCATCTGTAAGAGCTTTGAAACCTTTTGTTCAGACTAAACACTGAAGACTTCAAATCCTAGACTCTTCATCTTACTTCTGAACTCATGTAGCTTCCTGAGTTTCCAAGACCCCTTTTTATAATGAGGTATATTTACGTCTTTTGGGCACCTCGAGGAAGGCCACAAGTACTGTGTTTTAACTGGTGGTAACTTTACCTCAGAACAGAGGAAGATAAAAGGCGCTTTGCATGCTGAAAATGTTGGTTGCAAAAAATCTTTTCTTTGTAATGAGACTTCTTTTGTTGGTATTTTTTAATATAGGACGCATTACCCCGTGGTTTGCAAATCTTTTGTAATCCTTTATTGAAAATCAGCTCATATTTCTGTCATTAGTGGTATCTAGATGCCAGAGATTATGTAAAATACAGTTGTATTTGGAGTCATTCTTAGTTTCTTTGAGTCTATAGTCAAATAGCTCTTAAGAGGTAGTTTGCAAAGGATCGTTATTCTGCATCTTCTGCTGGTTCATCTTAGTGGAGGAGTGTTTCAGGGTGTTCACTATCGTGTCAAACTCCCTGCTGGCTTAGCTGTCATCATTTCTCATCTCCACATAAATGCTTTTCAAGATGGGCTAATTAGTGCAGTTTTAGCCATCTGTCCCCAATTCAAAGCGTGGTGGATTTCTTGTGTGCGGTGTCGCGCGGCGGTTGGCAGCCCTTAGTTAATCCCTGCCCATGTGCTCCCTTCTAGCGCTGCTGGCAGCAGTAACTCAAGCGTTCAGGAGGAAGTTCCTAGCAGGAAATCTCCCCATGAACCTCGATCCGTAGAAGTTGCTTCTCAGCATTCCTCCGGACCACGCTCCGCGGCATCGTCTCGCTCGTCGGCTTCCTCTAAAAAGAGAGCGAAAAAGGAACGTAAGTGTGGTACTAAAGTGCAGGGAGTGGGGTTTTTTTGAAGGAGGAGGTTTTAGGGTTTTCTTGTTAGGAAAACTGCAGTCTTTCTACGTATCTAGAACTATCCGCGGGTCTGTCTGAAGAGATTCCCATAGGCTGCTGAGAAATCTGAGTTAAGGCCACATTTATGAAGGTATCAGTAAGTTTGCCTGTAAATGCTTCATCTTTGGGTCGCAGACAGTTTTCACAGTGCACAAATTAATAAATACACTTCTTCCTGCAGGAGCTTGTACACTACAAAAACATGAAGAAACTTGGTATTTGTTACACTCTTACTGTATATGCAAAGGATGACATAAAGAAAAGCTAGTTTTAAAGTCAATAAAAGGACGAGAAAAATAAGATTGAGCATTCCAAATTATCTGTCTTCCAATTTTTTCCAAATTCTCTAGCTTACCCAAAGCAAGCTAGGCTTTATTCTGATCGTCAGCATTGAAGAGTCAAATGCTTGTTTTCTTTATTTAAACTGATAGCGTGCTAAAAGGAAAGCGAAGTGACAGCTTTGTTGACAGTGGACACAATATGCAGAAGATAACTTAATCTCCTGTAGAAAGCTGCCAAATTTACATTTCTTGTGTGTTGGATTTATAGACTTCTAACTGAAAGGCATCGTTAAGCAGGGAAAAAAAGCTCTCAATGATTTTTGGTGGGGCTCCAGATGGTCGAGATACGATACCAAACATAAACTTTTCACAATGTTGTTACTTCTTAGGGTTGGACTCTTTCAGTGGAAGTTCTCGCCACTTCCCTGTGGAAGAAGAAAAAATGCTCTCTGAGTTGGAAAGGGGATCCCAACAGACAAAAAAGTCCTTATCAAGTAGCAGAATTTCTAGTAAAGATCACGAGCAGAGCCCAGATACAGACAGCACGTTAGAAAATTTGTCTGGACACTCCCTCATGAGGTAAGAAGAACCTTTTAAGACTGTCTGCAAATATAACTAAGCTTGGTAGTATTATGGTGTGTTATTAGAAATGGCTGTTTCTTTGGATATGTAGAAGGAAAGCGACAGAAATGTTGGTAAGATGGGCATGCCCAAAACATTTTTCTCCCTGTGTTTGTTTTAAATATGAAAGCCCAAAGTAGGTGGCTGTAGTAAGAGCAAAAATAAAAGCAGTGATTCCTTCCCAAATGACCCCCTGTTTCTATAGTGGTAACTGACCAGTAGAGATCAGTGTCCTTTCAGGTTCAGTACCTGAGGCATTGAAATACGATTTTCATTTTCTTTTTCTGTGAGAATTGTTTGTGGGGGAAAATAACTTCTCAACCCGTGGAATCATCCTGCTCTTTTCAGTAGGATCTAGAAGATATTTTGATAAGACTTGAGTTCAGCTAATACTCGTAAGTCTTTTCAGCTCTGTGAATTGATACTTTTTGAGAGATTAACTGATCCTCAGAAAAGAGTGTAGTGAAAGAGGAAGAAAATACTAATTTGCTCTTGCATACTCTGTATGTCTAGCTGCGAATGCAGTTTTTCTGCTAATTGTGCAGTGAAGGTGGTTTTGAAATTCTCAATTTTCACTGTTCTCTTTTCTAGAAAGCAACAAATAGAGGATAGTCTCACACACTGTGTGGGCAGGGAGTGGGTTTGAGGTATTGATTTGCGTGGGTGACTTTCACTGATACCCAGTAGTGGGTCTGCAAGGTCCTGTGACCTCTGAAAGTGTGCCAATTAAAGCAGAACATCTTCCCCAGGGATTTAAGCAGCCACTGGTAGTCATTTTTTGGCTTAATAATGTTAGAAAAGTAAATTTAAGAAATGTCTGTATCATTTTCTGTATGTTTAGAAAACGATATCTTCAACTATCTCGTAAGATCCAGCGTGTCTGTAGTATTTTACTCCTTTAAATCAAGTTTTGGCCTTCAGGCATTTTGTTGCTCTTTGATGAAAGATTGAGACTCAGGGCAGTGGCTTATCACATTCAGTTGCATCCACAGGCTGGTAGTAATCCGTTTACTTTTTAAAAAACCTGTTCGTTGTATTCTGGTATCAAAATATCACCCTCATTTTGTGGGAAAAAAATGAAGTTCTTCACTCAGACTTTCGAAACGGATGTGTAAATGCTACGCAGGTGAGTGCATCCCGTAGTGTCCGGTTCATAACAGGAGGCATTGAAACTGCTTGTAGGAAGTGTAGGTACTATTTTAATTTATTTTTTTATTTTTTTGTGTGTGCGCTCCCAGGTTTGACACTTGCCAGGGGGAAATAGGGTGTTCTAGAAATGTAACCCTTATGTAGGCTATAGGTACAAAACCCCTCTCGTGAGGCCGTTTCCCCTAGGCAAGCTGAGCCTGTGCAAACTGTAACAGACTGTGCCTTTTTGCCTGGGTCTGTCTGGTGTTAAATGAAGAACCATGTTATTGCTTTCTTGTTTTATCAAATGGCTGGGCTTAGGAGAACGTTGACTACTTTCTTTTTTTGTTTCACTGTCAGTTTCTCAGACAAGGGAAGATCCCAGAAGACACCGACTTCTTCCCCATCTCCCGGTTCCCAGAAAATGTTACAGTTTGATTCTTTAGGCAATACAGCAGAAAGAGTCAAGTCACCTGCTGGCTTGTCGGGAAGTACAGCCTCAGGGCTGAAGCCTAACGTAGCCTTTCCTGACTTGAGTCTGGGAACTAGCAGATCTATAGCAGGAGCAGCCCCAGCGAGTGGTGAGTTTTATTAAAACTGTACTAATCCCAGACCAGTTATATTTATTTTTTTTTCCAATTATTTTTTGATGTGGGGCACCTGAAGTCTGTGGAAGTTGACCAGGAAGTCTTATCCTGCAGGATGTATGCGCTTTTCCCCTGCCGGTCTTCAGCATCGCTTATCGGCAGAGTTGAACTACCTTAGTGCTATTGAGGAATCTGTGCGACAGCTTTCGGATGTCGAGCGGATACGAGGCATATCGCTTGCCCAGCAAGAGAGCGTTTCTTTGGCTCAGATTCTAAAGGTAATGGAAAAATACTTCAATGTCTTAACCTCCTTTTTTTTTTTTTTTTTATTTTGCAAGAAAAACAATCTAATTAAGGCAAGTTATACTTTTGTTAGCAATGCAGAGAAATTGTAACGGCATGATGGAACATCTTTGGTAATGTCCTCTATTAGGATTAAAGACGGTTGTCCATCTTATCTTAAGTTGACACCGAGGAGCTGGTGGGTCTAGATAGTGTGTCATTAATATGCCATTAACTAGAATCACTGCTTTGATTGCTGGAATTACTGCTTCAGTAAAATAAAAACTTGGTTATTTACTGGGCTTGATGTTGGGTCCCAGTGCTGTGCAGCGTAGTTGTTCGGGCCGGATCGTTTGTCTTATTCTGTGAAAAAGATATTTTTGATTGAAATTCCCTTGTGTTGACCAGGTTGCTTGTTCTAGTTAGCTGGATTAATTGGCCTCTTAAATCCTTTATACACTATATTGGAAGAGTATGGGGAATGTGCATTGTCTACTTATAAAGGATTGAAGGCCGAAAATTTTACTTAAGCACCACCAGCAGAGTAGCTCTAGATCTTTCAGAGGTAGTTGCAGCCAATGTCTGAGGCAAAAAAGGTCTTTATGTTTAATTTGCATGGCTAAAACTTGTTCTCCTGATCTGCAGGCACAGCAGCAGCGCCATGAACGTGACTTAGCTCTTTTGAAAATAAAGGCTGAACAAGAAGCTTTAGAAAGTCAGAGACATCTGGACGAGGCAAGGCAGAAGGCAGCTCAGGTAATGCTGCCCTTCGAAAAATGTGGATTGTGTAAAAGGCAAAATGCTGTAAGTAGACCCATGCCTACAGGTATTCTTAATTTGAAGCTGTGAACGTATGGAAGTGGTGAAGGGGTTTAATATAGCCAAAAAAAAACTCTCTGGGGGCCAATTTCAATTTTTTTCCCCCCAGGTTTTAAGCAATAAAGCTGTAGTAATTACAGCCAGGACATTCTGAAGGGCTGACGAGGCTGTTTTCTCTGCGCAGGTCCACGCGGAGCCGCTGCAGCATCTGGTCCAGTCGCGCCAGGAGGCCGCACAAGAGACCCCGTGCAAGGCTGCGGCCAAGCAGGCAGAGGCTGCCCTGCTCACTACAGATGCAGCTCACCAGCTCCGTGAGGTGAGGTCCTGCGTGAAAGGGAAAAGCTATTCCACTTCTGGTATTCCTCAGGATATTTGTTCTGCCTCTAGGTTATTCTCTGTTCTGTGTCATTCTTGGTGCAACTTTTTCACCTTTGTAACAGGACAAATGGTAGGAATTTAAAGGTGTTTTTTATGGCATCGTTACTTAGAAGTCAGGTGACAGCCTTAAATCCCTGCTCACTGTTCTTGTGAGCTTCCAGTCAACAAACTGTTCAGAAGTTTTTGTTCTCCCAGGAGAGACTGATGATAGTGAATACAGCATCTTTCATTTGTCAGAGTTACACTCCATCAGGGATTGATCCTGTGTCTGTTTCATATGCAAATTAAATTAGAAAAACAGGGAAATTGCAATTTCGCTTACTTTTGAAGGTAGCAGACCGACAAATACAGTAAATTAAAAAAAGAAAAAAGGAGGGGAGCAGATCTTCCTCGGACCTTTTAACTTGGTACAGAATTTGAAGTTTGCCTCTTCTGAGTCTTCTTTCTTTTTTTCTTGTGGCATACAGAATTTTGGTCAGTTTATCAGGTTTTATACTTCTCGTTCCCAGCGTGTAGCAGCTGTTTACCATATAGGCAAGAAATACAGTAACCAAGAAATGCTTTTACTTCTTCACAGTTTAGCAATCGTAGTGACTGTGGATTAGGGCTATGGAAGGGAGTGCAGAAGGCTGATGAATATGAACATAACTGTTCTTCGCAGCTTATGCCCGTGTTGGTGCTCAGCAAGGCTCTTTTTATGATAGCTAATGGACTGTAGAGTAATAGTGATGTACTTGTTCTGGAACAAGTGAAGTTCAAATAAGTTCTGAATAGACAAGAGTGTGTTGGTTAAAGGAGCAGAAAAGCTCAGGCATCTCATAAACAGTTGTTGATAGCAGGTAGTGAAGTCTGGGATAAAGACAAACATACCTGTAGTTTGTACAGCCGAAGCGAGTGAAAAACCAGTTAAGAAACAAGGTAGAAGAAACAAAGCTTTTATCTGGTGCAGAGTTTTAATCTCTTGCTTTAAGTTTGAGAGTAAGAGGTTGCTTGTGGGGAGGTTGATGGTGATGCCCTGGTCGGTGATGAGGGGCTTGCAGAGCAGCTGGTTCCTCCCTCCATGTTCACTAGTGACTCCTTATACTCACTTGCTTTTATGAAACTGTTTGCCGTACAATGAACATAGACATTAATTGAAAAATTAATAAGCAGCTCAGTATGTGTGTATTGGGGGTTATTAAAATACAGCTTATTGCAGCCTTCAAAACCAGCACGAGTTCTGTGCCCCTGCAAGTGGCAGAGCTTTGAACAAGAATTAAAATACTAAATTCTAAAGCTTCTAAAAACCAGCGTCATCTGCTCTGATTTTTGAAATTTTTCTTTTTTTTCTAGTCAGGTGCATAGTGACTGCCGTACATTGAAAAAGAGAAATTTATCACTCTCTGTTGATTTAACGCTGCCAATTTTAGACCTGGTAGTTTGCCTCCTACTGGAACTTTAAACTTGTTCCCTTTAGAGTGGATGTAATATTCCTGCACTTTGGGAAAGATACACTTTCAGATGAAAAAGAAAACATTGTTTCTGGCTTTATTTATTTATTTATTCGAATTAATGCGTTGTAATGGTAGGTCTGGAATGTTTTATTATGTGAGGATCGTTCTAGTGATCAGAGTTTGCTGAAGTTGATCGGTGTAATATGGTAAGTAGCAGTTTGCATGTTTTTGAGTATTTAACTACAAAGCATCTCAAAACCTTGTCTTACACGTTTGCTGGATAAATCAGTAAATCACCCGCAAGAAAGACTACTTCCTGTTTTGAAACCATTTTGATACTAACGAGCTCATTGCTTTTGTTTGGTTTTTATTGTACTCAGGTGACAGAGTTAGCACGAACCCCGATCGCGGACGCTGTCAGCGCTCCAGCTGCTCCAGTCACCAGCTTGTTTGACCACCAGAGGCAGCACCATTCCGAGTTCATGAAGCAACTGAGGGCTCGAACTGATACAAACAGGTTTTGCCTAATGTTTCACATCTTGGGAAGGGAGGAGTAAGATTTGTGAGGTTTTCCTTCACCTATTCCTAAAGAAAATTTTAAGATGTCACAACGAGTGAGCGTTTAAGAAGAATTTAGATTCCATCTTTATGCCCTTAATAGTGTACCCCAAAGGTGACATTAACTGGTTCTGTGGCGCTCTGTATAAAGAGTAGAAAAAGATACTATAAATGTTTTGTGGGATGATTTAACTGGTCTGAGCTGTAAGTGATCTTTTCAGAGGTTTCAGTTGTTACTACTTCTAGTAAACTGATGAAAGCTTGTGAAAACTATTAGTCTTTGGTTTAAGGATAATGCAGATTGACCAAAACATTTCCCTTTCTCAGGAAATGTGAGTCTGGTGCCATATCACAAGGTACAGAGGAGATGGGTGACTCAAAGCAGACGTACTCACCGATGTTTGATAGTTATTCAGAGTCCTCGAGATCAAAGGTTCATGATCAGAGGTAAGAAGAGAAGAAGTACCTGGAGTGATATTTACCTGATGTTTAGGTTTGACTCATTTCTGGTGTTACTTTTCAGTGTCTTGCCTGTATTTTAATATTGGATTTTAGTTTTTTGTTTCCTATTCTCTTAGCTGACCAAATTATGAAGTTTCTCACAGCCCTTCTCTGATCTTCATCAACTGGAATGATTTTCTTCTCTGTACTTCTGATTTAAAACAACATGGCTGTCTTGCTTATCCTTTTAAAAACTGTAGGGAGAGATGTTTACAGTGGTTTGTAGGCATACTCATTGCCAGGTAGAGGGTGAGCACACCTACAAACCACTTGCATTCCAAGGTGGAATAAAAATAACAAATTCTGATGTCAATCAGCAGCTTGATCAGGCTTGGAATTTTGAAGTAGCCAAGCTACATTTTAAAAATAAACCCCTCTCCTTGTTGGTTATTGGTGGTGTGTTAGTCATGGTACGTACAGTAGTAATGTAATACAGATTTTTTGAAATGTGCAAAGTAGTTTTTAAAAAATAATTATCTCTTGATAACACAGTAGTACCAGCAGCCGCCAAGAGAGTCCTTCGGTTCCATCTTCTAAGCTTTCCCGTCGCGAAAAGATAACGAGCAGTATTGAAGAGCAGGCTCCTGCTGCTGCGGATGATTCCTTGCCGAGCGACAGTGTTTTATCACTGCCAGATGAAAAAGGTTAGCTGTTTGTGTGAACGTGATGAGCCTCAAAGGTGGGAGAGGGAGGGAAAATTCTGAAAGAAATGGGGGATTACGTGTGAAGAAAGCAGAGCCCCAGGTGAGCTGGTGTCCTCTTAAGAGATAACAGGATGGCACAGTGCGAAGGGATCCTTTGGCGTTCTGTGCATCACAGTGATGGAGTCTCTGGGCCGTTGTGCTTTCTGCTGTGCTAGCTGTAGCTGGATGTTCACTTGTGGAATATGCAGGCTGAATGCCAAATGCTTCAGCAGTCCCAATATGTCTGTGTACAGGGGTCTACCTGGTCTTTTTAAGCTAGACAAGAGTATTTCATTATGTAACTCAAGGTCAGTCTATCCTAAACGCCCGTTTTTCTACGTTAGTTTTCTCCATGGCTCTCCTACCCCCCTAACTCTGAGATGAGACAGAGTAAAACTGCTTTTGTGGTATATGCCTGAGCATAAACCCACTTCTCTGATCTCTCCCTCAGATTCTGCTTCTGTTGCAACAGAGTATTCCCTGAAATTTGGTGAGTCTATGACAGAGGATGAGATTGAGGAAAAGTCTTTCCGGTCCTTGCTGCCCTCCGAGAGTCATCGCAGAAATAACTTGGAGAAGAAACGGGGTAATCGTGATGATTCTGATGAGGAAGTCTCCCCAGAAAAACCAGCTCTATCATCTATCAAGGTGAGTCAAGCGACTGTAGTTACAGTAAATGAACTGAAATGGTGAAGCTGCTGAGCTTTAAGTGAGCCATTCTTAGCTGTGTTTGCAAACTTTAGGGTTCTTTTCCTCTGTGTGGTTCTCTGAGCATCTCAAAGCATTACGTTGTATAAATTGTGCTCGGTGTCACTGTTGTGCAAGTGCAATGACTTACGGAAGGTTGGTCCAGGCCTCTGTTCTTGCATGATTTCGGAGGAGCAACTTTTTTAGGTAGGTTATAGATTAAGTCTTTTTTATAGATTAAGTCTTTTTTAGGTAGGTTATAGATTAAGTCTTCCTTCTATGCCTACATGCAGGTAGGAAGTACAAAAGGATGCTTAATCTCTCTGGCCCAACAAAACTGTCCTGTAGCCAAGGGCAGCAAAAGCTGGTCTGCACAAAGCTCGGAGAAGAAAAACCCACCAGCTCCCCTTCTTACATCTCTTTGTGTGTGTGTGTGTACCTGTGTATACACAGGCACACTTTGTAATTGAAAAAACCCTTGGAATTTCTGTATAAAATCATGCCGAATTTGTCTTGTGTTCTAGGACCTGAGCATGCCATTCTCAGGGGGGCAAGATAGCTTCTCTAAATTTACCATGGAGATGGTGAGACAGTACATGAAAGAGGAGGAAATGCGAGCAGCTCATCAGTCCTCACTACTTCGGCTCCGGGAGAAGGCTCTGAAAGAGAAGGCCAAGGCTGAATTAGCTTGGCTGGAACACCAGAAGAAGTAAGGCAGCTCTTGAATGTAAGACTGTTGCTGACTGACCATTTTCTTGTACCTTATTTATTTTTTTTTTTGTAAGATTTTTCTTCCACCCCTCCCTTATTAAGGACCAGTGGTAAAACTAATCTTCTGACATCAGCAATCTATACAAATGTTACTGTCACTTGGAAAGACCCGCACGTGGTTTGTAAGTGTGTTTTGATGTTTATGTTGAACGTGGTTTGATCAAAGAGAATTTCATTGAAACGATGCAATGTCGGGCGTTAGTTGTCAGTCAGAGAAGGTGGTTCCCAGTCATTACTCTACAAATCTTAATTCAAGAAGATATCAAACAGACCTTTGTTCGCTTGATGTCTCTCTGGGGTATTTTTAGTTCACTCAGCCAAATTTTGTGAACTTGGATACCTGTTGTCCTTAACGATTTGTTTCCAGTCTGACATATACTTTGTCCTGAACTGCTGCTTGAAGTACCTAGTGATGCTACTAAATAGCGGTGGGCAAATTGAATCAAGAATACTTTTCCACAGTCACTCTCTCTACGTAGAGATATTTTCTTCCAATTTCTTGTCACTGTGGGCTTGACAGGATTGTGAGGCGGTGACCCGAGTGTCGATTTTTTTGTCTTTCCCAAATGGTGAGCGTGCTGCCTCTGCAGGACTGCTCACACACGTGAGATCTCATATTACCTGCACTGGCCTTTCAACTGTGCGTGTCTTTTGACTAAACGGTATAAAATCCTGCGCTATGGAGCATGCCAGTGATTAAGTACCAACATATACTCTTCTACAGGTTGGTAAAAGGCTTCTTTCTTATTTTATCCTTTCTTCCAATCTGTTTGCAGGCGTTTGCGAGACAAGGGAGAGGATGATAAGATGCCTCCTATTCGAAAGAGGCAGCGTAGTCTGTTGCTGAGACTGCAGCAGGAAAAGGTAACTGATTCCTCTAGGAAAATCCTGTTGAAACCGCTGTGTAGGCGTTAAATGTTTCAGGCACGGTAAAAACTAAGAACTGAGAAAACTCCATCCCATGCTTTCAGGTGGGAAGCTGGCAGTATTTCTCACCAATAAGCTTTATTTGCATTTTGATAGTATTTAACATATTGCTTTTAAAAGGGTCCTTCTGTAATCTCACTTGTTGAAACTTAGATGTGTTAATTGATCTTCTGTTCTCTGCTGCTGAAGTTTGGACTGGTTACCTCGCTGAGTAATTTCCGTTATTTTAAACCCATAGCCTGGAGACTGTGGCAGCTTTAGAATGTGTTCTTGAGAGCTGCCTGTCACAGTTGTTATGTTGAATCTTTTTTACCCAAAAGGCAGAAATTAAGCGTCTTCAAGAGGCTAACAAGACTGCTCGGAAGGAGAGACAGCTGATCCTCAAACAGCAGGCAGAAATAGAACGAATACGTCAGACCACAATAAAACTGCAGGAAAAACTGAAGTCTGCAGGAGAGAACAAGCTGGTAAGTGTTGAATACAGAAGCTGGAGTCTTCCCTCTTTGGCCCTGCGGCTGGTATTTGCCTTCAGTGTTCGCAGGAATGGAGAGCTACTGGATTGGACATAGCCCGTGAAAGTTTTGTCTGCCTCAAACGGTCTTGTCCTCTTTATCTCAGCAATTTTAAGTTTAATTTCTTTAAAGCATTTAAGGAAATGCATTTTGGAGAAGTTATGAAGTGTTATGTTGTGGGGTTTTTTTTAACTGGGCAGTAGGTGGTATTAGTTAATTCTCAATCTTAACTCATAACATTGGTAATACCAGGTTTTTGATGCTTAGTTCTCAGGCTCTGATTTGGTTTGATTTTTTTGGTCAGACCTTGAAGTGCTGAACCTAAGTGCTAAACCTGAAACTTGCTGCTTTATATGTGTGTGTTAGTGTCATTACACTAAATTTCCTACATCCGCTTTATGAGATGGCAAGATGGGATTTTGGTAGCTGCCTGCTTCAGAAAATTTTGAGGAGAAACAAGTTTAGTAATAGTAGTGTAAGGGATTGCTTTCTCTGTGGCAACTGAATTCTGGTGGGTTCTTTTTGCTCCAAGTACAGTTAGGGTAGAATTTACATTATGGAGAAAACGGATTAACTAAACCTACTATCTGTGTCAGATAAAAATGAAGTTGAAAAATTAAGTTACGTCTGCAGGTGGACAGACTTAATCTGAAATAGCATTTGATGTGGTCTGGGGAGAGAAGTAATCTAAATCAACAAAACTTTAAAAAAGAATGCAGAATAACTTTTCTTACTTTTAAAATTGCTTTTTTTCTTTTAACACTTAATTGCAGGACCTTCAGAGTGAGGATGACATCAAGCAGAGCAATGGTTCTAGCCCACTTCCAACTGACGCAGAAACACGGAGCCCTTCCCCAATCTCCATCTCCAGCAGTGAGACTAGTAGCATTATGCAGAAACTTAAAAAAATGCGCAGCAGAATGGATGAAAAGTAACTTTTTTTCATTATACGTATGTTTACTGTTTTAATAGAATGAGTGAGTTTGGCTGGTGTCTGCACTAAAACCAGAAAAATTGGAGGTATTGATACCACATGCTCTTTGGTCTGAGTTGCCTGAAAACTACCTTACTGGAAGCATTAATAGAACTCTGTTAATCTTTGAATATAATATTTTCAAGGCTATAATTCTTGCATGAATACTGAGAATCAAACCTTGTTAGCTGGGAGACTGTAGCTGGGTCAAGTTTTATTGTAGAAGACTGATTTTAATATTCTTTATACTTGATAGGTTTGGTAAAAGCACATAAATTTAGAAGATTTAGATGTTTGCACGTACAAAGAACTCGGACAGGCTCCAGCGTGATGGTGCATCTTGTCAGAGTTTCTCTTGCAGTGAGGGACCTGAAGTGATGCCTGTGTTTTGTATCTCCCCTTTTATTTTAAAGGGAAAAAGTATAGGGAGTGTGACTCTGGAATTACAGTACCAATTTTTCTCTTGAATTGAAGCATAAATTATAAGTAGTTATAGTCTTATATAAAAACGAGTAACTGAATTTGAGATCTGACTCACAGAAAGTCATGGAGCATGTTGGGCACGTGTTTTCTGCCTTATTATCCAGCTGCTGAATTTCAATTCTAATTGCTTTAAAATCATCTAGGTATTAATTCTGCATTTGCTTAATTCATGGAGGTGGTATGTGTGTGGCTGAGCAGGCAGGCACTTAATAAGACCTTTCTTTTCCTCCTGCGTGGTCCACAGTTTGGAAAAAAGTTGAAAACAGTTATTAGTTTTCAGAGGAAATAATGAATTATATGTGCAGGTTTTGGCTTTGTAAGACTGAATCTGTTGATTTTGCCTGTTGAATTTCTTTGAATCAAAAATGATTTCTGCATCTTTTCAGTGTAGGAATTACTTTGTCTGCACTCAACATCCCAACTGCTTTGCCAGCATGTGCCTATTAGTTTGAAGCCTTAAATTCTCATTTGAGATGAATCCGTTGAAAGTCTGGCCTCTGCTGGTTACTGCAAGAAACAGGCTTTGCTTAAACACCTTTTTTCGAATTTATCATCAGGTTAGGTCACTATATTTTAGTCCACGTGAATGATCTTTGTAATGTTTTTTCTCTTGAGACTCCTAAAACAGCTGTTCGGCTTTCACACTGGAAAGCAAGCGCTGCCATTTGTAAAGGCAAAGCAGGCTGTTACTTCTTCGCACCCTATTTGCTTGTAATCGTTTGAGAAACACATTTCCCACACTAGTTGTACATGATGAAGATCAAAACAAGTAGGAGAAAGTGAGAATGTGCTGTAAGTAGGAAAAAAGCCCCAAAATGTGTTCTAGGTAATGATCTTTATGTTGTAGCCCGAATTGGTTGCTATTTTATTCAGACTCTTCTTGTAGGATCTGGTAAACTGAAGAGCCAGAACCACAAATTATTTCAAATTTCTAAAGTGTCATATTTCTGAAACCACTCTTGGTATTCCCAGTCATGTGCAAAATCCCCCACTGTTACAGCAACAAACTCTTTCTGGCAGTATGTTTTGGGGTTGGTAAATAGCTTAAGATGAGCACTTGAAAGGGATATAGGCTACGTTGATTCTAGGGTTTCAAGAAACGAAGACTTTTCTTCTGATCCTATTTTTGTTCTTTTAAAAAGAGGCTTTATCTTTTCTTTTTTTTCCCACCCAAGATTCAGCATACAAAATTACAAATGGTGATATAAAGCCAAGTTACAGCTTACGGATTTTGAGATGTATGATGTAATGTGTGTAGTCATGTATTTTTTTTTATGGTTTTGTCTTGGATTGCTGTGTATGTTCCAAGGAAGGAGGATATTCTGTAAAGATAAATGTTTCTCTAGAACTCAGTCTTCCTAATTGCACAGCTTTGGCGCACTTTTTGCAGGTATTTTGGGAGTGTTAGCTTACCTGAACAACAGAGCCAATTTGATACCTTTTGTTTAACATCCTTATTTGTGAAACACACAAAACCAATACTAAATGGGATAGAATGAGATATTTGGGTTGGGGTGTGATGAGAGGAAGCTGCTGTTTGAAAAGAATCAGGTTGTGAAACGTGGCCAAAGGAAAGAAGCAGAATGACGAGTGAAGTACAAAGGAACCGGAGGAAGGAATTGGAAAAGGCTGCCACGCTGTGCTCCGTAGCAAGGCAGAAGGAAATCCTTTGGCTTCCTTACGTTTGAGGCAGCTTTAATACTTCTTTTCTGCTAAAAGGGGAGTGGAAGGCTAGTTCTGTTTTAATTTTAACTGATGAGTCTGTGTAGCCTGCATGTGAACAGGAGCATGCTCTGTCAAAGAGAATTAACCACTTTCCCCTTGCTTTCCTTGCAACTTCAGTGATAATATGTGCAATAGGAGAACTAACTAAATGCTCTTTTTCTTTTGCTTTTCCTTAATATGCTTCTTAGCTTGCATTGTAGTTGACAGAGCTATTTGGAGCACAGTGTTTTTCTATAAAGATGAGAATTCATTAGGAATTAGCTTAAAATGGTAATTCTTCAGGAAAAGCATTTTAAGCACAGCTGTGAGTTTATGTAGATGCTTTTTGAAACAATAGGTGTAATCTTTCTGCAGTTAGTGCTTCAAATGAGAGAGGTAATATGTGAGGGTTCTGAGACCAAGTCTGCTCTTTGTCGCAAAAAAACCTGAAAATAGCATCTAAAAGTTTAATTGCAGGTATATTTCACGCTTTTCCTGGAATTGCTTATGTTTTAAAAATACTTTATTTAATATCTTCCTCCTTTTTTTTTTCCTCTTTCACTGGTGCTTACCTTTGGAGAAGTAATTTTACTGAGGTTCCACCAGGCGGATGACAGTGTGCTTGAAGTTTCAGACTAGCAGAGTTGTTCGTATCGCAAAACTATTTAATGCTAATAATATATCGATGGTCAGAATGGCAAGACTTGCAAAAAGATCAGGTTGAGATACGTTAATCCGTGCCTGTGGAAGTCTACATCAAAGTAATAAAATGGAAATCCCTCCAAAATTTAAAGAGAACACGTCAGCGTGAAAGTAGCTTGCTTTTACCTAACAGAAAATGAAGTGGTGTGAGTGTATGTGTTTCATTACCTTCTGCATAACAGTGTATAGTTTTTCTACTTCGGATGTTGGATAATAACTATACAATGTTAAATGCAATTAATTTTAAAGTTCTTTGCTAGATGCTCTCCTTTTCTCATTCTTTCTGCCTTTTTTGCTATCTTAGTTTTACACTCTTCCTCCTTATTTTGTAGACACTGCTCTCCTGTTCACTACTTCTTCTCTGTCTTTACGTCTCACCACTGGGCCTCTCTCAGTGTCTGTTTTCCCAACCTACACCCCAAATTCCAGCTGTATATCTACAACCAATTGGTCAGGTAACTGTATCTTTCTCGAGTGATAGACTCTTTGATAGAGCATGCTCTGTTCAGTCCTAGAAAGTCAAGAGGTTCTTCATCAGTGAAGTGTTTGTGACTTTTCCTGACTGTTCCCAGATCCTTATTAATGACACAGACAGTGGGACTGAGAGCACCCTCAGCAAGTTTGGTGCTGGCACCAAGCTGAGTAGGGCAGTTGGCACGCTGGAGAGAAGGGATGTCATCCAGAGGGACCTGGATGAACCTCCTGAAAGTCAGAAAGGCCAAGGGCAGGGTCCTTCACCCAGGTCGGGGCAATCCCCAGTGTCAGTATAGGCTGAGGGATAGATTGGATTGGGAGCAGTCCTGCAGAGAGAGACTTGGTGGACAAAAAGGTGGATCTGAACTGGCAACGTGTACTTGCAGCCCAGTCACATCCTGGGCTCCATAAAAAGAAATGGGACCAGCAGGTCGAGGGAGGTGTTTCTCCCACTCTGCTCGGGTGAGAGCCACCTGCAGTGCTGTGTTCAGCTCCGGGTCCCCAGCATGCGAAACACGTGGACCCGTTGGAGTGGGTCCAGAGGAGGCCACAAAAATGATCAGGGGGCTGGAGCGCCTTTTCTGTGCAGGCAAGGAGAGGGAGTTGGGGTTGTTCATCCTAGAGAAGAGAAGGCTCTGGGGAGATCTTACTGTATCTTTTCAATTTATAAAATGGGCTTATCAGAAAAGTTGAGAGAGACTTTTTACCAGGCCCTGTAATGATAGAACAAGGAGTAACAGTTTTACACTGAGAAGAGGGTAGGTCTAGATGAAACATAAGGAAGAAATTCTTCACTGTGGGGGTAGTGAAACACTGGAATAGGTTGCCCAGAGAAGCTGTGGCTGCCTCCTCCCTGGAAGTGTCTAAGACCAGGTTGGACGGGGCTTTGAGCAACCTGGTGCAGTGGGAAGTGTCTCTGCCATGGCAGGGGGGTTGGAACTGGATGATCTTTAAGGTCCCTTTCAGCCCAAACCATTCTGTCGTTCTAATCTCTTATTGCTGCTGGGTTCTGAGTGGCAGACAGACGGACTTTGCTCCCTCTGTCTGGTCACTATTTCAGAACAGCTGCTGAAACTGTCTAGTTTGGGCTTAACGACAGTAAACCTTGGTTATAGGTGTGCAAGTACAGGTTAGAGCAGAGGCTGATGCTTCCAGGTTAATATTAGGGCTGCACAGATGAAATGTGTGATGTTAACACCAGAGAAATAGTGCTGGTGTAATCTGAGTGCTGCCACTTCCTCTTTGCTCCCCTGCAATGTGGTTTTGCTTTTTTTTTATTTTCTTTTCTGTGAAGGTGCCCCCTGGTTTCGAGGATAAATGTGTACCCTTGGTGTTGCAACTGGAACCCTCTAGACTGTACTAAGTAATAAGGCAACGTGTGTGCTACCTTGTGGCTCTGACCTTTTAATAAACCCCAGAGTTATAAAGGGATCTGCATTTTCAGCTGTGCTGCTTTATAACCCTCCTCTTCCTATAGGTTGGGTGTTGGAACGCTTTTTCTCCCTCATCGCTTTTTTTGACTTACCTTTCTGATGAAGTAGTTGTGTGGTGATTAGTCTCGTGGTCATTTAGGTACTTCTCCTCCTGTTTGTGGTCTTCTGGGTTAATTCATTTGACATGTGCTTTGAAAGAGTCCTGCTCTGTGGCATCCTTTCTCTTGCATTTCATTTCAACTGGACTTGCCTCCCTCAAGATCCAGTAAGCTGTGAAGATCCAGACATTGTGATGAAATCAAATGGTAAATGAAGCAAGAAGAAAAAGTTGCCTTTTGCATTGTAATAATGACATCCATAATGAATTCCACACACATGATCAGCGGGATTAGTTGGAACTCATGTGCATCTGAAAGTAAGAGTTGATCGCTCTAATAGTGCTGGTGAAAGACAAGCATGAGCATGACTGTCCATGTCGTGTTTGTAATGCGTTACTGTTGGTAATCTAGTTTCTTGATGGTATTTATCTATCGGTTTTGCCCAAGAGTAGATGATGTTTTATGCTCTTCTACAGAAAATGATGAGGTAATGCACAAAGTCACAGAATCTGTCAGCTTGAAGGTAACAAGTGTCCCAGAGACCGAGGTGCTTCTCTTTTTCACCTGCTGTTGTTTTGAGCGTTCAGAAGAAGATTGTGGGCACGTCTTACTGACATCTGAACCTTTTGTCTTCACATCATAACTTGTCCACCTTACCTGAATCTCTTAGAGAAGGACTTATCTGAATCTTAACCTTTCTGATCAACTGTCAGCTCGCTTTTCCAGGGAACAAAATGAATGCTGAGTGAGCAAACAACAAGTGTCCATTAGGAGGCGAGATGTGCAGATTAACCAGTTGGTCGTTCCAGTCACTGTAAATATTTTTTTTGTTTGAAACACAAGAGATTAAAAGGTACGTGTGAGATTATTATCTGCTTTACAGCTGACAAACTTCGATGCTAAGTGTTTGGCATGCCTGAAAAATACAAATTATGAAGGCATTTACAAAGCAAAATACGGCAAGTGTTTGAAGACTGCCTTTTTAGGTGCCACACCTGTACCGCTGAAAAACTCTCGCTCTAGCTGGCAAACCGTCTCTATTTTCTACAGAGTGATTCTGCGCTATCTATGTAGGAGCTGGATTAACTGATGTACACTCTTCTAGACTTGGCGTGTCAGAAGAAGTGTGTGCAATTGATGCTGAATTTGCTTCCAGTTACTAGATTAAATGCTATGGTCTCGGTTACCTCAATAATTAGAATTAAGACTAGAGATACCGTCATTCAGGAGCCAGCAAGGAGAAGCATCATATGCGCACAAACTGGTTCATCCCTATGAAGTTCTATAAGAATTTCTTCATTTCTGAGTGCATCACCTAAGAAATCTTTGTCAGAAATAAAATATCTGCCAATTTTCACCATGAGCTTTACTTTTTGTCTATTTTTAAGCTAGCAGACTGATATGTTAGTAGCTGGGAAAAAAACCAGTCCTGCGTCCTTATTCTCTTGATGCTGTCAGCTCACAATTAACATCCTGGGTGTGGCAGTCCATGGAGACGATGCTTGAAGAGAGACAGATAAAAGCTCCAGTAATTCAGAACTATTAATAGGGAATCACGTTCTCTTGTAATTATGTGTTTGGATAGAACTGTGAGCTGTCGTGGTTTAGAAGACAGGGGAAAAGCCTCCCTTGAAACCGGGACTGTAAACCCCTCCCCCACACCCCCGAATTACTATACCTTTGAAATGATGGGGCTTTCAGACAAAGATGTGGGGATAGGAATACCAGTTCTTTACTGAGAAATTGTAAACTACGAGGGGTAATGATACAGGGGAAAGAACAACAAGAAACAAATAATCCCCGAACCCGACAGAGTCAGAATACCTGACTTGGGAAACAGGAAAAAAAAGTCCAAATAGATCCAGATTACAGTCCTGCTGGAGTGGCAGATGCTGCTCCGGGTGATTCGGTAGGAGTCCGGCGGCAATGGGGCGAAAGTTCACTCCTGCGGCCAAGGCGAAGAGAAGCGGCAGCGGAGAAAAGCGGCAGGGCCCCGCCCGCCCCGCGG